TTTGCTGCTGTTGTTCATCAAGGGCGGAAAAAAAAACCCCAAGATTTTTGTTCTCCTATTCAACTCAACGGACTTGGATCCAGCAGCGACTTCATGTGAAGGACCAGGCTGCACCGAGGCTGCCTTTTCCTAGAATTTGCTTGATCATATTTTAGAAATCAGACTAAGGAGGGGTGTTTTATTGTTGTGTTGGTTGGTTTTTTTCTCAGCTGTGATCCCCGATTCTTTTTCCCTGGGAATCCGAAAGTTTAACTTTCCTTAAGCGCTGATCCTCCGAAAGGAACTAGATAAAAAGTCTCTTTTAATTATCAGCCCTGTGACTTTCCTCTTCACCCCAACAATCCCAGTAACTTTGTTTCCCGGACGAAATCGCTTCGGGAGCGCCTTTTTTTTGGAGGGGGGGGAGCCACTTTTCCCAAGCCCCTTCCCGAGCTCCCGCTTCCTGAAGCCAAAGGCAATAAGCGGGAGAGCCCAGCGGCTCCTCGTCCTCGCCTCTGTCCCAGCGAGGCTTTTTGTTTGCTCCCTTTTTTTTTTTTTTTTTTTTTTTTTTTTTTTTTTTTTTTTTTTTTTTTTTTTTTTTTTTTTTTTTTTTTTTTTTTTTTGTGTGTGTGTGAGTCCGGAGGAGGAAGATTTCGTCGGAGGAAACCGGGACGTTCCCCTGAACCCCCCCTCTCCTCTCCGCTCCTCTCCGGGGCTGAGTTACGCTACGATTCTGGCGGCCACCAGCAGCAGCAGCCCAGGAAGCTGAACCAGCAGCGAGTTCTACTTCTCCCAAGACAATTTTTGGAAAATCCGAAAAGGAAAAGAAGACGCGAAGGGAGGGGAAGAAAAAAGGGAAGAAACTCGAGCACTTGAGGGAAGAAGCGGTGGCTAGAAGGAGGGAAAAGAGCAGAGAGACTGTGCGAGAAGGAAGGAAGGAAGGAGGAGGAGAAGCGGCAGCGCTTTGCAGCTGGGCAGAAGCCGGGACCATGCAGTTTCCAGCCGGGCTGTGCTGAGAGGGGCAGCCCCGGACACACTGCCAGCCTCTGCCTCCTCGCTGCTCCAGGCTGCCTGCGCCCCCAGACCAGCATCACCCCTCGCCCCGTCCATCTTTCTTTAAAAAAAAAACAAAAAAAACCCCCAAAAAAACAACAAAACAAACCAAAAACAGACTGAGACTTTTTTTTACCTCGTGCATTTAATCCGCTCTTTTTTTTTTCCTGTTTTTTGTCTGATTTGCTTTTTTGCCCCTTATCCTCACCCTTCACTTTTTCATTCATCCCTTTTTTCGCTAGATATATATATTTTTTTTTACAACCCCCACCCCCCACTACACGCCTCCTCTACCAGCGATCCCCCTACCGCTCCCCCCCCCCGCCCCCCAATTCGCTAACTTGTGGCTGTTGTGATGCGTATTCCCGTAGATCCCAGCACCAGCCGGAGGTTCAGCCCCCCCTCCAGCAGCCTGCAGCCCGGCAAGATGAGCGAGGTCAGCCCGGTGGTGGTAGCCCAGCAGCAGCAGCAGCAGCAGCAGCAGCAACAGGACGCGGCGGCCGCCGTGCCCCGGCTGCGCCCCCACGATAACCGCACCATGGTGGAGATCATCGCTGACCACCCCGCCGAGCTGGTCCGTACCGACAGCCCCAACTTCCTCTGCTCCGTCCTGCCCTCGCACTGGCGCTGCAACAAGACCCTCCCGGTGGCGTTCAAGGTGAGACACCCCCTCCCGCAGCCGCCGCGGCCCGGGATGCTCCCCCCGCGCCCCCTGCCCTTCCTCCCGCAGGGGCTTCTGTGCCCCCACCCCCCGGCCCGCAGTGTCTCCGGTGATTCCCGTCCTGCAGGAGCTTCTGTGCCCCGCGGCCCGGAGGGATTTCTCTGTGTCCCGCAGTTCCACCCCCCCAGCCCCGTCCTTCAGTGCCTTCTGTGCCACTCGGACCGCAGGGACTTCTGTGCTCTCCTATCCCCCCTCCTGCAGCATCTCAGTGCCCCACCGGCCCGCAGGGGTTTCTGTGTCCCCCCGACCCCCTGTCCCCGCGATGTCTCCCGTGGCCCTCGGGCTGCCTCCTGTGCCCCCCCCCTCACGCCCCCAGCCCAGCAATGCCTCCCCGTGCACCCCCATCCTGCACCGCCTCCTGTGCCCCTGCGGCCCGGGGGGCTTCTCTGACCCCCAATCCTGCAATGATTCCCGTGTTCCCGCCCTCCCCTCCAAGTGTTCGAGACTTGGAGTGCCTTCTGTATCCTGTCACGGTCCTGCTGTGCCTCCTGTGCCCCCGTCCGCGATGTCTCGGAGTGCAGCCCCCGCAGTGCCTCTCGCCCCGCTCTCCCGGTCCTGCAGTGGCCGCCGTGCCCCGCGTCCTGCCGCGCTTCCCGTGCCCGCCGTGTGCCAGCTCTGCCCCGCTCACCCTTGCTGCGCCCCCGGCGCCCCCCAAGCTCTGCCCGCCCCCCCTGCACGGACCGCACCCCCGGAGCCATCCCGTTATCTCCATCCCCGCGGGGTACTGCTGGCGTGCTCCCCCCGCAGCCCAGGGGCACCCTGTGCCCCCCTCAGCATCCCCCCGGGAGACACCCCCTGCTCCCCATAGTCTCTCTCCATGGCTGGTTTTATTTTTTGTTTGTTTGGGTTTTTTGTTTGTTTGTTTGTTTGTTTTGGTGTTTTTTTTTTTTTTTTTTTTTTTGAGAAACCTGCTTTCCCTCTCTGGGGAAGGAGGGATTCAGCCCTCGGCCGGAGCTTAGTGTGGCACCCCTCCACCTCGAGAAACCAGTCCCTGACCCACGGGGGTTCCCCTTTCTCCTCTCCGCTCCCGGGAGTGGGACCGGAGGATTTGGCGTGGCTCTGAAGCGTGGCGGGGCGGCTGGAGTCCGAGGGTCAGGCTGCAGTGGCAGAGTGGGATCGGGGCTTTGCCCCCCAACAGCCCGGGCAGAGATGGGGCTGGGAGAGGGGGACACAGAGCACCTGGAGTTGGGGACACGGGGTACCTCACTTCTCCTGGTGGACAGCCGAGGAAGTGGATGCCCAGAGACGCTCTCCTTGGCAGGGTCGCACATTTCCATAATAAATCCCACCCCGCTCTGCACTGGGGATGCTGCTTTTAATTTTCTGTCTCCATCCCCACGGCGCGCTAATGAGAGGAAACGTTTTTAGAAAAAAACCTGCAATAATAACAACAATAATTGCGGGCTTTAAAGCAAGCCCTTTTCCTCCTCTAGCAATATTTCCAAGTGTTCCCACTGGAGTTTTCCTTCCCGTGGCTTTTGGTAGGGAGGGGGCAATGGCTCGGGTGTCCCCAAGTGCCTTCCTGAGCAGGGCATGGGTCAGAGTGAGGTGGGATGGCCCTGGGGGATCTCAACATACCCACATTTTCCTGTGAAAAGTAACACACCTGGAGATCCCTGAAAAGACAGAAAAGTTTGGAAACAGTCTCACCCAGTGTGTTCCAGAACATCGTCTTTTTCTTGTGTTTCCCGACTGCCAGCCGTGTTATCATGGCCGTTTGTTCGGGAAGAAGCAGTAAAAGTGCTTAAATGAGCCCCTGGTAAAGTGAGTGGTGATAACGATGGAGGTTTGCTTTGAAGATGTTACGGGTGTGCGGGTGAGGCTTGGCTAAAGTGCTCGTGTGTGTGGGAACAGCTTGGAGAGGATGGAATTGTGAGAGGAACCTTTTGCACTGGGCCTGCTTGTGCAGGACACGATGGTCAGACTGAGCAGAAATGGCAGGAAAATCGGGTGTCTTTTTGCTTGGTGTAGAACTCAGAGGCTCTCGACATGTGGATCACAGTGATTCTGATTCAGAGGGGCTGCAGGGTAAGGAGGAGGAGCTTTCAGAGAATTGTGATTATAATTTAATTGAGCACTAGATTAAGTTGGTGTTATAGTTACTCTTTAAAGCAGGGATGCAGGAGATGTTGCATTATCGTGCTCACGTTGCTGTTCTCATTTGAGCTGTCTGAGCCTTCTCCTACCTCACAGCAATTCAAAGGATGCGGTCGCATCTCATTAGAATAAGGGAAAGAGCTAAACTAAATATTAAAGTATTTAGAATATTACTACAATAAGAACGCTTACCTGTGATAAAAAGGTAGACAAAGTATTGGACTGTTCCCCAACAATTTTTTGTTCATATATATGTATTTATATGTGTCTTACATGTGGGTCTTGTGTTTGATTGCTGACATGGAGGTGTAGATCTGACAAATTTTCAGATGCGTCAGAGGCGCACGTTGCCCCTTGCACCCTGCTGCTGTGGGTGCAGCTGTGTTTTCATATGCAATATGCGCTTTTTAAAATATGCCAAAATTATATATGCCCTTCTTTACCTGTAAATTAATTTGAAACTCACTTGAAATACTTTTGACCATTAAAAAAAATAGATTTCATATTTCAAATGCAACTTGCATGCAGCTGCCCAGTAGTTTTAGACCAAAGGAGCTGCATGTATCATACAGTGAAACACTTGATTGTGTTACAACAGAATAGGAATCAGCTCGGAAAGGGAGAAAAGAGACACATTTGAGCTATAGAAATCTCAGCTAAACAATAACTTGAACATGAAATAGCTCACAGACAACACACTTTGTGAAGTTTTATTGGCAATAAATAATATGTTGATGATAATATTTTGAGTGGTATGTTAAGTGTGTCATAATTCTCTCACAGCGATCTCGAGCAAAAATGTATGCTGGATATAGCACTGTTTTAATTTAAAAAAACAGATATAAATCATATGCAGGAGAGGAAGTATGTTATAAACAGTGCTGGGTTTGATTATAATTTTTTGAAATAGTGTTGGCTTAGCATTAGGTTTGAATTTTAAGTATTAATATTTGCACACACTGGGGAGGGAGTCCCTGTCGTGCATTCACTTAGAAGACTGTTAATGCAGACTGGTTTTGTGAGGAAGAGTATTTGATGAGTACTTGCTAATACAGCTCTAGCTGTTAATATTCCAGCATAAAATAAATGGATATTGTTCACCCAGGTCCAGATCATATTCACTTCTTAATCTCAGTAGCCAGCAATACTTTATTTGAGTTGAATCATCAGAATTTGGCCCCTCTGTGGGAGTTTTTACTGCAAGTCATAAAGACCCAGATTGCCACATTAGAGGTTAGAAGTGACTTCTGTATGATTTTAATAGCAGCAGAGAGTCTTAGTGGACGCAAAGGCAGGGGGAAGAAATGGGATGTGGAGCCTAAAACATCTCCCCAGTAGCACCACAGTAGTTCAGGGTCTGTCAGCATTTCCCTCCAAACCCCAATTTTCAGAGTTTATAACTCAGCTGTTTTAAATAGCTTCAAGCTGAAACCTGCTGTATAAATTTTCAGCCCAGATGTAGATTTGAAACAAAAAGTAGCACGAATCAGTTATTCTGTTTTAAGTTACAGGACACTGAAATGTTTTTAATAGTATCAGATGCTCTTTTGGCAATGTCTGGAAAAAGCATTTTCAATACAAAAGATTTTACATTCAGAGGCTGTTTGAATTCAGTGTTTTGTAAGAAAGCTTTTGAAGTGGCAGATATCAATGTTTGAGAGGAACTAGTTAGCATGTACACTAGTGTTGGCCATTTTTTTTTTTCAGACAAGCATTTTACTCTGAGTACCTTCTGTTGTATCGGAGTTTTGCTTTGTGCTTATAACTTCCGTCTTCAGGCTACATACTTCGGCCAGTTCAAATCCCACTGGACCGAAACTGGGCAAACAGGTTGCCTAACCAGAATTGTATTATGCAAAAAACTTAGTTATTTTCAACTCGTAAGAATTGCTTTAGTTTTATTTTGGGGATTCGTGTGCTTTTTTCAGCTTTAATTGAAAGGAAAAGGAAAAAAAAGAGCAAAATCTACTTTTAATCATCAAAATGTCTAGGGAGCTTAATATGAAAAATTAAGATTTTGAAATAGTAGAGATATTGAGTATTAAAGGATAGGTAAGGAATGTGCACTGTGGCTACTTCTAGTTTTTAATTTTTAACACAATCCTTATTCATTTCACAGTGCATTTACAATCCTCTTTCTAAGAATATGTAATTAATTTTGTATTGATACATGGCATAATATTGCCAAATCAGGGTTTATGCCAACAGTCGTTCAGTTTGTATAATTACTTTTGAAAACTCTCAAAATGACAGGTACTTCTCTAGGTTTCTGACTTGTTTTGCAAAGCTTTTTTTTACCCAGTGCTTCTAAGTACCTTTGCAATAGTCTTGGGCTGTTTTGTGGCAAGAAAGTATCGAAGTGAGAAAAAAATAAGCCTTTTACTTCTGGTGCATGGCAGGGGAGCTTCCCATGTTATAGGGCTTTATTTTATGAGCAAAAGTTTTTATTTTCATCTCTGACTTCGGTTTGTCTTATCTTTTGGTCCTCTCTGAAGGAGATGAACAGTGATACTGCATCCAAGGCTTCTCAGTCATGATGCTGCTCTTGATTAGTTGCGATCACTCGGCGACAGCAGCGGCACGTGCAGCTCTGGGCTGATGGCTAAGCTGACAAATTGAACTGACACTGAGTGGAAAGGGCAGGAAGAAAAGCTCTGAAAAGCAACAGAGGACATAGGGGAGTCTTTAAAGGGATTTTGCTCCCTCCTGCCAGGTGTTATAAGCTGTACCTGGGTTTGGGACTGAGACAGAGCTGTGATGGCACTACCTGTCCATGCTCTGCAGGTACCGGGGGAGAAAGAGGTGAGCTGAGTCTTCAGGCACCTCATTCCCTCTTCCCAGGCCCCTGGCAGCCTTGTGCTTCCTGCTGTGCTCTCAGGTGCTTTGCATTTCTGGAGTTAATGTGATTTTTTTGTTGTTGTTTTGTGAGGTATAAAAGGCGTAGGGTGCAACTCCCTGGGATGATGATGAGCATGACAAGACTGTCCAGAGATAACATGGTCTGTTGCAGATTGGGAAGGGAGTGGTTTATAAGTAGTCTCAAGCCCCATGCTTCACAGTTTGAGCCAGTATCCATTTGTTAATGCTTAGAGTCAGCTTTGTAATCTGTTCACCAGATTATTATTTGTTATTTGATTATTATTTATTATTCCTTACACCTGGCTTTGAAGCTGTTAGACCTGGTTGCTGCCAGATCAAGGCAGAGAGTTATTGGGACCTCAGATCTTAGCAACGATGGTGGTTCCTTTGTTTTTATGTTCAGGGACTTTCATATGACTTTAAAGTAAAATCTTTGTTTGATACATGAAGACCTCGCAGAGTTTGTGGCAAGTTTTAGCTTATAGTTTTGGCTGGTATTAACTGATGTTTTATGCAAAAATAGAAAAGCAGATAAATTCTTTTCAAACAGTGTTTAAGGTTCACTAGCTTCTTTCTCTTCAATATTTCTTTTAAATAGAATAAGCTATAGTTTTCATTAATATGGTCTATTTCTATATTATTATAATTCCTCTTTATTGTTTTAGAGAAACATTGTACAGTTCACTGGACCACATAATGCTTTCCCTATATATCCAAAACTCCTCATTCTTTCCACTGAATTAATATCACCTGCAACCTGCAATTATTCGTTTCAGCCAGGATCATTTATGGAAAAGACATTTCAGGAAGGCCATGTGATAAAATGTAATATATATTAGAGGAGACAGAATAAATTACTCTGAATAATATAAAAACTCATATCTGACCATGTAAATTGGTAATAACTACAAGGGGAGACACTTCATAGCTTAGGATATTTTTTTCAAATTCTGGCTCAGCCATGCAATATTTCTTAATCTCTTCTTGTTATAAATTTATTTTCAGCATCAGAATTAACCAGCTGGGGAAAATGAGGTTATTTTATTATTACTTTTGTGGACATTTTTTCCCTGTGTGTATATTTTCTTCCTGGTAACTTAGCATTCCTGTGTAACTTTTTTTTTTTGCTTTAAGAAGCCACAGAGCACTAACACTGTAGGTATTCCTGGTGTTTTCAAATCAGAAGCTGTCTGCTCCATGACATTTATTTAATCAGATGTTGGAGCACTGCACAACCACTGAAGCATGAAAGGGAGACTATCAAGTAGCTGGAACGCAAGGAGAAATTAAATACTTTGATATCTTCTGTTCACCCATCCTGGAATTTGAGGGAGGTATCAGCACAAAGCACATGCGACTCTTGCAAGCACTATGAAAATTTACATGCCTGCAAGGAAATACAGCTTGTTTTATATTGCACATGAGGAGTTTGAATTCCAGCCATAAAGTGCTCCACTGTAGAGCATGTTCAGCGTAGAGCTTTGCCTGCTGGTGCCCCGAGTGCCACTCCTGGGATGGGTGGATACACGGATCCCTCTGGCTTGAAGTCTGAGGAGCCTCAGGGGTCAGGGTGATGGGTACAACCAGAACAGACCTGAATCTAGGTGATAAGGCTGCTAATACTAACTTCTAGCTTTCCATTTTAAATGCTTTCCCATGCATAATTTACAGATACAAGCCTTGCCTCGTGCTCTCTCGCTGCTCCCTGCTTGCTAAGAACAAAGTTGTCCTTCAGAAAGCACCAAAGCGTGCACTCAGCATAAGGATGTTGAGCGTTTCTGAAGAAATGCAACAATGAAGAAGCTCTGAGAAACAGAGACAACACACGATGTCTCTGTGTTTGATGTGGCACTTGGTTCTGTGCGCAGCGAGTACCAGACTCCTCACCACAGAGCTTCTTCACGAGTGTGGCAGCCTGCAGAGCTGGGAGGGGAGCACGCATCTCCAAAGTGTGGCTTCACCAGTCGTGATTGTCTCCCCGTTTTTACAGGTGGTGGCCTTAGGAGAAGTGCCCGATGGGACGGTGGTGACTGTCATGGCTGGAAATGACGAGAACTACTCTGCAGAGCTGCGAAATGCTTCTGCTGTGATGAAGAACCAGGTGGCCAGATTTAATGACTTACGATTTGTGGGCAGAAGTGGAAGAGGTAGGCCGCTGCCTTTTACATGTTCATAATGATGTGAAAAATGGTGCCAAGATGTCAAACTTACTTCACAATGAAATATTGATTAACCCATTAATCCATTGTTCACAGAATCAGAGAAAAGTTTGGTTTGTAAGGGACCTTAAAGCTCATCGCATTCCAACCCCCTTGCCATAAGCAGGGACACCTTCCACTAGACCACGTTTTTCAGGTTGTCAGTCTTTTTTTCTTTTTTTGTAGTGATGTACACATATTTTATTCAGCATTTGCACAAAGCAAGTTAGGAGTCTCTGTAGCTTTTTATCAGACAGAGGTTTTGAAAAACAATCCAGGGAGTACCTGCTTCCCTGTTTAAATCACACAAGAAGGGTGAAAGGAAAAGGGAATATCTGTGATCCAGGTTATGCAGAGTCAGGGGAGTGCATTTTGGGCCATGGCAGCGAGAGGTGGAGAATTCCTTCTAGCAGTAGAGCCACTTCTGAAGTTGTAGAAGAGCTGTAATTAGGGGGATTTTGCATATCACGTGTTCTACAGGTTGTATTCTTTAGGGACTTAAATCTTTCAAGGCTTAGCAGCTGTTGGTAGAAAGCTTGCTAGTGGCTTCTCTGCCCTTTAAACCAAACTGTTGATAACCTGTGAAAATCACCCCCACTTTTCTTTTGAGTAAGATGGTTGATTTTTTATGAATTGCTGGTAACCTTATGCATGAACTAAATTCAACCTTTACTTTAAATGACAGGGTAACTTTCTTTTTTTTTTTTTTNTTTTTTTTTTTTTTTTTTTTTTTTTTTTTTTTTTTTTGAGATGTAGAGTGCTGTCATTGTCTTCCAGCTCTTTAGGAGTTTCCTGTAATCTGAAAACTGCATGCACTTATAGAAAGCTTTTGTAATCATTGCAAATTTTCAAGAATTCCTCTTTAAGGGTTGAACACCAGCTTTCAAACTTCAGGTAATGATTGAAAGGATAGTTCAAAGGAAGCTAGCACTACAGTTCTTGTTGCAGAAGTCTTCAGAGTAATGTTGTACCAGTCATTGATCCAACCTACATATTTTTTTCCTTTATGTGTTTGAAGTAATTATTACTTTTTTTCTAAATCAGTCCTGCATGAGGAAAAACAAAGCAAAATAAGCAGAATAATTGTGCTGGGAAATTAACAATAAAGCAAATTTTACAGTAAGATATTTTAGAAAGCAGTTGCAGTTATTCTTACAGAAGGAAAGAATTTTTGTCCAAAAAAAATTAAATATATGACAGAGGCCCAGATAATCCAAATCACTCAGCACATTTTTACAAGTGCTTTGTGAAACTGAGTCCATAAGCATGACTTACAGTGACTATAGTTTAATTACCTAGCCAAAAATTCTCTTTATAATTTTAGAACTTTAAAAGTATTAATCACAGAGAATAACTTGAAAGAAAGAATATTTTTACCAGCAATAATACAACAGAAATATGGAGTTTATTCCCCCTGTGAGTAAGGTGTTGCCTATCTCTTCCATTTGTCTTCTTTGAATAATCAGTTTGCTTTGTTATTCAGCTGATGGATTAGGTTTGAAAGTTCTCTGGCTCCATCTCCACTGCTTTGCAGTAGAAGTTCAGTAGTGTATCAGCCTTTTAGTAGTGGTGAAAAAGGACTGAAATGTGATGCACTACCTCTGATCTGAGGATTTCATTTCAAACGTATGATATATACTTTTTATTAAAGCATAGGAAATGAAATAGACAACCTAAAGCCTCAGTAGATACAGACACAAACACAGAGCGCCTAAAATTTTTTTTCAGTAGTTTAATTTATATTTTTATCTAGCAGACTTGAAATAGACTTTTTCTCTGATCAATCTGTGTAGAATCTATGGAAAAATGATAGTATACTTTTCAAACCCTCAACATATTTATTTAAGAGACTTCAAAGAAAAACAAAGGGTGTGCACTGTTTTACTATATTGGCTTTCTGAGTTTTGGCTAGTTTCCCAAGTAGCAATTTTTATATTTAAAAAAAAAAAAGAAAAAAAAAAAAAAAAAAAAAAAAAAAAAAAAGAAAAAAAAAAGGAAGAAAAAAGACAGACTTAACTGCTTGCAGACTTTTCACGCATGGAAGATGAAGAAAGCTTCTTTTGATGAAGTGTAATTATGTCCAAACAGAGCTGACCCCCTCCCCCTATATTTCTTATGATCTTAACGGAAGAAAGTAGGGCTTTCCCTTTGAAGCAGCCGGGACTCGGTGGAGGATCTGAAATGCTGCATTCTCCTGCCAGAGGCAGGATGGAGAAATTGGTCCAGACTTGTCTTCCAGACTTAGAGCAGAGAGGGGGAGAAAGAGCGAGAGAGAAGGAGAGAAGGAGAGTTATCATTGATGATGGATTTTTAGAACTCTGCTTAAAATAAAAGGAAAATAAATCAGTAGTTACAAACAGAAGTAAGAAAGCTGCTTACATAGACAAATATCAGTAAATACAAGTCCTGAAGTAGAGCAAGAAAAAATAAATTAATAAAGAAGTTATTTTTCGGTGGCAAGAAACTAATCCACACCTGTTCCTGACTTGAGATTTACATCTTTCTAAGCAGCTCATGCTTTGATCTCTGTATCTCTAAATTTGATTGTGAAGTCTGAATCATCAACTTACCACTTCACCTCCTCTCCCACGTTTTTACTTGCTTCCCATGGCTCAATGGAGAAACCCAATTTTTATACATATTCATTTTGTTTGCCTGACAGAAGCTTCACGTTTCTGTTTGCATAATTTCTCTTAAACACCTTTTTTGGATTCATGAGAGTAAGTAACTGGAGTGTTTGATGCAAATGCAGCAGTTGTTTGTATGTGGTTTTCAGGCGGTAGCTCACTTTTACAAGCTCGATCCACAGCGCAGAGAAGAAAGAATTCCTGTCTTCAATAAGCAAAGGATCATAACCTTAATTTTGTTGTGTCCCAATACTTTAATCACATTAGCATCTAACTGAAAAAATATGCAACACGCACACACAAGCTGCCGAGTCTCCTTTCAAGCTCCTTTCTGGAGTTTGCCTTGTGCTTCAGCATATGTCCATCTCATCCTCCTCCGTGTCAGCTCGGCTCACATGTGTGAATAACAAAGAATGCACAGTTTAGACACACTGAAGCAATAGTGCCAGATGACTGCTTGGCTGGGGAATTTAATAAAAGAGAGCTACAATTAGTCTGTAGCCTCTGAAAATGGATAGTTGAAATGACTAAGGGCAATAAAGAAAGGTGATAAAAAGTGCATTAAAGGATTTTGTAGCTGAGGAGGGATAGCTGTGAAATAGCTGTGGAAGGCATCAGAATCGCTGAAATGGGGGACCTTAAAACTTTATTTCATTCTTAATCTTGTAATATGTAAATCATCTCTTGAAAGCTCTGGAGTGCCCTGGCAGGGCCGTGCAGCTCCCCACATGAAGGGCTCTGTGGTTTATGGAGTGTGAGGGGGCTTCATCAGTGTTACTTCATCTGCACTTTGGTTTGTAAAATACCAGTTAGGGGTCAAAAACAATTTCCCTCCCAAATTAGCTGCTTACCTCTTCAGCTCAAGCTGGCCAGGAGGTGACAATACAGAATTTCTCACTGTCAAGGTCCAAATGTAGCTCCTTTTATTAAGGAATGCATTTTTTCTAGCCACTGAGATATATTAGTGTAGAAAATACTGCTTTGCTTTTCTGCAGCACGATTTTGCAGGTTTTTAAAAATAATATATTTTGTTAATTTTTTTGTCACAATAGACATTTATAGGGATTTGTGTAAAGAGAGCAATAGCATGGAAGGCCAAATTCTTCATCCAAATACCCTTTAAGTGTCTTTGTTATCAGTAATATTCTACTGATCGTATAAGAGTTACTGTGATCTGAATGTCATCAGCATACAATTTAATAGTCACAACTTTTTGGCATGGTAAACTAGTGCCAAAGGAAGCCTTAAGCCTGAGCCTGGAGAACTATATATATTTGTGCAGTGGGCTGAATTCATCTTTGGAAAGGGATAAAAGGCACAGACACTTCTCAGCCCTGAACAAGCAGTTTGGAGAAACTGCAGGGCTGCTGCTGTGTGTGTGAAAGCTGCCCACGCCCTGTGCTGACAGGACACACAGTTCACCTCTGGGACTGCAGGTGGGTAGGACTGGACAAAGACTGGAAGTCCAAAATACCCCTAACTCTGCTCCTGGGATGATTTAGGAAATAATTCTTTTTCCAGTGAAAATGGGAAAAGCCACCTTCAGCCATGCCACTGGGACAGCATTCAGCATCCTGAGATTTTTGCATGCTTAAACTGACAGAGGGCAGGTTTAAATTGGATATTAGGAAGTAATAGTGAGGGTGGTGACTCACTGGCATGGATTGCCCAGAGGAGCTGTGAATGCTCCATCTCTGAAAGTGTAAGGCAGGCTTGGATTGGGTTTGGGGCAACCTTGTCTAGGGGAAGGTGTCCCTGTCCGTGGCAGGGGAATTGGAACAAGATGATTTTTAAGGTCCCTTCCAACCCAAACCATTCTATAATTCTATTTGCCAGGGTCCTGACCTTCCCTCTAACCTGCATCTCCCAGAGAGCTGGGCACAGCTGGAGTACAGCTTCACCTGGAAAATCATTTTACTCTAAATGACAGTTGTATTTCCTTTAAAAAAAAATCCATGTCACATTCTAGTTCATGAAAATTATAGCCAAGACAGTTTGAAGTTGCACTGCTGATAATAAATGATGCATGTCTCAGGCAGGTTTGGGGGATATACGATTTGGACCAGAAAGAAAGACCAATTACTAGATTTGACAGACAAAGCTCTGTTCTGTATTATGCCTTATATATAAGCTGTTCTATATTAGGCCTGAAAAAACTGCATTAAGTTTGTGCTGCTACATATCGTTTAAGATTTGTGCCTTGATTGAATGCCTTCAGAGTTCAGCGAGAGGAAAAGCCCTAGCAGCAAAAATGCACAAATACACCCAGGGAGGAGGGGAGAAAAAAAAAAGAGCTTTAAGTGTCTGGTAAAGTAGCAGCTTAAATGAGCATGAAGGCCAAAGATTGCTGACTGTTTTATTGAGTCACTGTTGTACGCCCACCTTTTCCTGTCTTGAAACAGTTTTCAGTTTTGACTATCTGACATGAGTAACCGTTGCATATCTAACAGATTACAACTGTCAGTGAGTCTCCCAAACGGGGGCCAGCGCCTGTGAGAATGTGTGCTCAGATGCAGGCAGCTCCCTTTATTTATTTCTTTTTAACGTTTTCATTCAGCTGAAGGCTGTAAATGGTCTTGTGCAATCTCTGCCTGAATTCAAGCTTTGAAAAGTAAAAAAAAAAAACAACAAAACAAAACAAAAAAAAAAACCCCAACAATGAAGACTGACGATAGCAAAGTACGTGCACACTGACATTGCTCACCCTCACGGGAAAGTTGGGGGCTTTCTTGGTATTTCATAGATGGAATATGTGTAGGGAAAAAAGGCGTGTTCCATAATAATGATATAATCATATTAGCCCTGGCATATGAAGGACAGAGACACTGACTCCCTCTTAAAATATCTCCCAGGAGAAAAATATATTCATTCCTCATCTTATTGTAGTCAAGTCAAACAAATGAAATGATAAAACTGTGTGAAGTAAATAACATGTGGTCACATTCTGCTCTCTGTCACACAGCTGCAAAACTGGAGTAAATTTTTAAATTATATGACTTGCTTTGGATTTACACCACTTTCAATGCAGCAAAGAATTTGGCTTGTCCTCAGCAGTGAATCACTTTTGTTCTGTCATTGTATGATGACCCATTATTAAATAAGAAACATTTAGATTGTCAACACATGGACGTATTCTTGACATAGAGTAAAACTGAAGGGGAGGAAAACTCCTATGGTCAGTTATGTTTTTAATTTTCACGATTGTGGTAACGACAGGGAATAATTTTAAACTGATTCTTTACTGAACATGCATGTGACTGTTTTCATGTTGTAATCACTCATTCCTTGTTGTTTTTTTCCTTTGTAGGGAAGAGCTTTACTTTGACAATAACTGTCCTGACAAATCCCCCCCAAGTCGCAACATACCACAGAGCTATAAAGGTTACAGTGGATGGGCCAAGAGAGCCAAGAAGTGAGTATTATATCCTTTTTTTTTTGCTCTTATGCCTGCTTAATTTTGCTTAACAGAAATCTGTAAATGAAATATGTATATCTTTGTCAAACACTGGCTTTTGCTCAGCAAAATATGTGAGTACATGGTTAATTTGGAGTCTATTGGACCACACACATACTTGCATTAAACACTCGCTTAAGTGCTTGGCTGAATTTGGGCAATCCCAAACCTGATTCTCATTCACATCAAGGTCTTGATACATTATCTGCCAATGAAGATGAGAACTAGAACCACTGTATTTATATATAATCTGATTTAGACACAGTAGACGCAATCCTGCAACGTGCTGCATTTCCTGAACTCCTGTCAGCTTCCACCTGAAGACATTTAGAACAAAACAGGAGCCTGATCTTTCAGGATCAGTCCTAGAATAAAGAAGAAACATATAATATAGTGCCTTTTGTTTGCCCTTAAATTCTTTTGCCATCAGATAATTAATGCACTTGGTTAATCTCATCATACCTGAAGTTGGTTTTCAGCTATGGACTCATCATAGAACCCCAGGGGCCAAAGAAAGATAAAAAAAAGTAGTATATCAACAGCATAGTCCTTGTTTCTTATTTGTGCACAGAAAATATATTTTTTTAAAACATAGTCCAGCAGATTTTTACCCAGCGCGTTTATCTCATAGCCATGCAAGCTCACTAAGAATCTATTTGCCATGATTTATCTGTTTTGCAATGGCTGTACTTTTATGACAATTGGGTTTTGTCATGTCTTAGCAGTTTTATGGGTAGCACTTATTTTTAGATATAGTCAAGTCTGCTTAATCCATCAGGATTTATCTGGCTGTCTCTCTGTCTAGCACATTTAGCTGGTAACCAGTCTCACATCATATAGGTATCACTGATGAGCCAGTTCTGGAGTTTTTTCTTAATCTAACTAGAAATTACTCTAAATTGATTGGATTAGCCAGGTACAGCATTATTTAAATTACACTTAGAGATTAAGAATTATTTGATGAATAACCACATTAAAAGAATCCCTATAATGGAAGCATCTCAAATAATTATTTTGCCTTTGATCTGCACATACAAACATGACCTTCAAGAAGCTTTCATGGTGTTTTGTTTAAAATACCACAAAGACAGAAGTAGAGAGATGTAGACAGAATTCATGCAGTTAAGTGTTTCTCGTGCCAATACATGCTGCAGAGTCACCTCCTCTTACACCGAGGTGGGAACTGAAATTCTCCCTGTAAGAATTGTCCAGGCTGTGGAGTTTCACCTTGAAGAACAGCTAAGAAAAAGCAAATAGCTCTGGATACATTTCTTTGGGTACATACTTGTAGTGCTACCTGCTCATAGCTGAGGTGTCCTGTTGTCACAGCAGGGGGATTTTTGTTCTGTCTTCTCTCTGTGAGTCAGTTCCCATTTTTAATTTTCACTTGCAGCTGGTGCTCCATGTAACTTACTTGGAGGACACTGGGGAAGCTGCATTCATGGAGTAAAATGCAGAGAGTAAGTTATATATCATTTAGCCATTCCCATCTGGAGGCTGCTTCCATGTATTGAAGCATCTGCAAAAGAGGAAATCTCCTAGCAGAGGACACAACCGTGGTGAAAGAGCAGCGAGGTTGGAAAGTGATGTGTGGAGAGTAGTGTGGATTACCCTGTGCAGCACAGAAAGGGATCCTGCTGGCATGGGGATGTTTTGGTGATCTGTGGATTGAAAGTGAGTTTGTGTTCATAGAATTTAACAAGATCTCCTAGTTCTGCTGGAATTTTTTACTTTAGACCTATGAGGCCTTTGTATGTAGATACCTGTTTGCTGGTGTCTTCAAATAGCTGAGCCTAGAAATGCTCAGTAACTGAGTGCTTATGGCCTACATGAAGTTATTATTTCCTTCTTCATCTTTTTATTTTCTTTCTTCTTTTCACATTTTTTTTTTTAAGAAAGTAGAATTTGAACTTGGATGTCCATTTGTACTTTAATGTTTTGGTGGAATACTGCAATCTTATCCTTTCATTCTGAAAGGATTCATACATCTCTGGAATGGCTCATCATTAAACTTGAATTTGTAAGGAAAGAGTAGCTCCAGTGAGCTCTGGGAGTTTCACTGAAGTTCTGTTTCCTTCTTAGAGACCCTGTACTTGTGTAGATACATTAGTTTGGTAGCCATCATTCAATGACTGTATCTGGCATTTATGTTGCATAAGGAAAATTAGATGGTTGGGGTCAATAAGGAATTCAAGAAGCAGCTCTGATAGCAAATGTGTTTGTCTTAAAAAATTATGTATCGGGAAATAGTGCCCCTCTCTGCCAGGATCTGTATTTCACTTCAAAATTTCAAGCATGTTATCCTAGTTTTCCTCTCTCTGGCAGCTCAACCAGAGCTGTCACATCACAAACAACTTTTTTCTTAATATACACATCTGGCGTTGGCAGTTGGAGCAACTTCATAAGAGCACATGATCATCATTCATTACAAGATTAAAAAGTACCCCATGGCATCATTGATGTTTTTTAACTTTGATCTTTTGCAGTTGTGATTCATCTCAGTTATAAAACTTCCCTTTAAAGGAACACCAACCAATGACTTATTAGAACCTTCATTCTAAGGAGTGTAAACATAAAATTATGCACATCTTTACAAAATGTCATTTACTTTGTTGCCAGCTTATCATTTTAAGACATGACATCATGCTTTAGATCGTGAATTTGTAAGGCTTGTTTATAGGCAAGGCACTCTGACCTTCTCTTGGCAAGTTGACTCGAGCAAACGAAAGCTGCAAGGTTCTCAGCAGCAGCAGCAAAGCCATGACAGACATCACAGACGTTTAGAACCCGACTTCAGGAGTGCTGAACAGTCGTGGCATGCAGGGACTCCAGTTGGTGTTTTGGATGCTCAGCACTTCAGAAAGTCGGGTTCTTAAATGTAAGTGCCATTTAGTCGTATTAAACGTCTGCTTGTAGAAGCTTGCTGCCTTGCCTCTCTGTTATTATTTGAAAATATTTTAATAGAGACAGTGATGTCAGGTTGCTCTGTTAGGAAAACTTGCCCGTTTCTATACGAGAAAATGTCTTCTGATTATTTTTTTCTCATAAGAGATTTATTTAATTTTACCTAACCTCTTCCAGTCTATCTAGATTACTGTCCAGGGACATCTTCTGTGTTGCAGTTTCTATGCTGGATTGAGACAGTGCTTTGCACTCTGAGTGATGCAGTCTAGAGATGGGGTTGTATAAGATTTTTGAGAATCATTAGGAAATCCTGCAGATATTTTTCTCTCCTCATAACCAGGATAAAACCTCTGCCATATGCAGATCTCAGCCAGCAGAGCTGCCTTCCAGCTGGGAGGACTGAAAGAAGTTTTCCAGAGAAGTTTTCATGAGGTCATAACTGACCAACAGATAGCCAGAGATTACTGTAAAGGAAGTCAAAAAAAAAAAAAAAAAAAAAAAAAAAAAAAAAAAAAAAAAAAAAGCAAAGAAACCACCCAAATCTTTACCTAAGCCTCCCTTTAATGCCTTTGCCTTTCCTCAATACAACTACAGAAATAATTATTTGCCCTTCCTTAGGGGTACCTTTAGAATAGGAGGCACATCCTCCTTTCTGGCCACTTTTGGAACAAACCCAGTCATGGGGGAATCATGAGGAAGGAGGGAGGAGAAGTCTATATATTTTTATATTTTGCCTGACTTCCATAAACTTTAGTTTGCCTCTAATAAAACGTAGGCTCCAAAGTCACCGACCCCAACTTTCTCAGTGTGAATGCAAAAGCAGCTCTGAGCTTTGAGCTGAAGCGTTTCGGGGCAGAAAACTGCCCAGCTTCATCCAGCTCCCGAGCGTTCCTCTGCTGCCGCAGCTTGCAAGGTGCACACGTGATGAAAGGTATGAGCAAACATCACTTCGCTTTTTGTCTGTGCACGCTGCGGAAGGCAGCGGGAGCCAGCCGGGGCTTCTGCTCAGCCCCCACATTAACTGTTTGGCCGACCCGGCTTGTAAAACGCAGATAAGTGATTGAGATTTTTGAGATTCCTCGACTTAAAACCATAACAGTTTTTAGGAAGGTCTCCCTCTTTTCTTTCAAAGGCGGAGAGGGTGGAGGGATAAGTCTGAGGCGAGTGGAATGTGCTTTGGAGTAGAGCAGCTTTAAATCTTTCCGTTTGCCTTTCTTTTCTTAATTTTTCTTTTTTTTTTTCCCTTCCTTTTTGGAACCCATCTTTTCTTTTTTTTTTTTTTTTTTTTTTCTTTTTTCTTTTTTCTCTTTTTTTGTTGACTGCCTGTCAGGAGCTGGGCTGGTGGCCAAGCAGGAAATGACACATCGAGAGGCATTTGTGTTGTGCAACATTTTGTGGAACTGATGCAAGGATACATTGTCTGTTTACGCATTCCTCTGCTAACAGCCTGCATGGCAGTAATTTTATTCAGGGACACATGGCATGCTACAGCAAGGAGTTGGAGCCTTAACATCTCTTTATGCAGAATTATCACAGCAGTTAAAACACTCTGTGTGTCCCTCGTTTCGAATAGTCTCTGGCCTGCCTTCAAAAACCACTCTACCAGCCCCCTTTCCTTCCCAAGAATATATTTGTTTGACTGTGGGGATTTTTTTGCACTGTGGTAAATTGGGGCAGTGCAGAGAGAGAGAGAGAGAGACCTTGCAAACAAGAGGAAATTTTACAGGCAGGTTCCTATTTCATGCATCTACCTCAGACTGAATGGAGCAGCACAGCTTTTTCGGGCGATGCGTTGCAGACGCTGAAGGCGTCGGTTTGCATCTGCATGTGGTTTGGCATGGGGAGGTTTTTAATTAAAGTCAATGCTAAATACCCCGAGATGTGATGAGCGAGTCTTGGGGTTTCATCCAAACCGAAGTTAGAAAATCTGTGGCACTCTCTGGTGTCTTTCAGAGTGACAGATCTCTGCTGAGTTGGCTGGGTAGGTCTGGATTTATCCCGGTGGCTGCGGGAGCAGAGGAAGGCAGAGTGGGCGGTCTAGGGTTCAAAAGTTG